AGGTTAGTCATGCAAGGCAAAAAAATAAGTAGGACAGAGTGCATACATTGAACAGGACAAAAATATAGACATGCCAGCAAAGAAGTAAGCAAGAAAGAGTGCAGAATGTAGAGAATATATTTAACATGCAGATTTTAGACATGTTGAGTAAAGAAGTAGGCAGGAAATTGAACTCATAACTGATAAACTAGTGCAAGAATGAAAACACATAGGGTTTGAATCTCAAAACTTAATTAGAGACATACCAGTTGAAGAAAAGTGCATTATATAAAGCAAATAAAGTTCCAATATCTAGCCTTGACTTTTAGCCGGCTAGATCAACAAGTATCACAAATAGCAGAAGAGAAAGAGAACTTTTAACGTGTAAGTGTGCTTTTTTGTGAACTCAATGTTCTGTCAAATGAGAGTAGAAAAAAGCATATAAATAGTAGTTTGAAATCTAGGTAAATAAGGTAAGAATCAAATTGTTCAGTGATTGGAGAATCTCGGAATCAATTAAGGTGAAATTAGTCCAAGTCTTCCCTTAATTAAGGGGGTCATTTCAAACGGTAAAGAACAGGTACCAAATAAGGAAAGAGTTCAAAGACCTAGGTACAGAATAGGCAATTAGGGGTAGATACATAAAGTTCTAATTAAGAAAATAATCAGTAAGAATCAAGTAATAATGCAGACAAGGTAAGGGAAAATTAATTAAGGCAAGCAAATCAATCAAATTGAGTAGAAAGGTAAGAACCAAAAGTTTAAGGGAAAGTGTTCAAATCAACCCAAGAAATAAGGAATTCAGAATATTCAATGGCTCAATCAAAGAGAACGTCATGAAAAGAGTCAGCATGTTTAGCATATAAATAAGGTAAAACATGGATAGTCGGGAATCGACATATAACTCTAACAAAACAAAAGTTAAACAATACTGATTCAATGAGAAAGATACAGGTCTTGATGTGAATAGTCAAGATGAACACAAGCACATAGAATCAGCGAAAGCTTAGACTAAGAAACTCAGTAGATGCATATTAAGGCAATACAGTTACGAGAAATCATAAGAACTCAAAGCGAGAACCAGTCAGATATGCTAATACTCAGAAACCAAATGAAGAACCCTAAAAATTAGGGCTTTCAGCACAGGCGAGTTAAGGTTGTAGTAGACTCATAGAATCAGTCAAAATATGTGAGAAACAGAAGTTTAAACACGAAAAATCATCCAACAAATTTTAAAAAGAAATTTCGGAAACCCTAGTTTTAGGAATAGATGAAAAATACTTGAAAACATATGATTCTTGTAAAGAATCTCAAGGCTATTGTAAAACACACAAGAAACAAACTCAAATCATCTTAGATCTGTACAGATCTAGGAGGTATCGAAAAGAAATTAGGGTTTTGAAGAGATCCATACAGAGATGAAGAAACCTATTTAGAAACCTATAGATCGTGGTTAATATAGAACGCTTTCACTCGAAATCACACTGGAATGGCCAAGAACAGGCAAGAGATGAACCCTAGATGCAAGTCGACATAGCCCTGGTCCCTTGAGGGCCTTAGAGATGGCAAGAATGACATGAGAGAAGCCATTGGAGGCCTGAGAGATGGTGAGAGGTCACCGGAGACGACCATAGATGGGGGGTCGGTGTTTGGAGATTAGGGTTTAGGTTGAGAGTGTTTGAGATGAAAGTAGCAGAAATGAGGATGTTGAGATGGATGTGTGGACACACTAGGCTGGATAAGATTCAGAATGAAGATATTCGAGAGAGGGTGGGCGTGGCTCCCGTGGATGACAAGATGCGGGAAACACGACTTAGATGGTTCGGACACGTGTGGAGGAGAAGCCTAGATGCACCGGTTAGGAGGTGTGAGCGGTTGACTTTGGCAGGTATGAGAAGAGGCAGAGGGCGGCCTAGGAAGTATTGGGGCGAGGTGATCAGGCAGGACATGGCGCGACTTCAGATTTTCGAGGACATGGCTCTTGATAGGAACATGTGGAGGTCGAGCATTAGGGTGGTAGGCTAGGGGGTAGTCGTGAGTTCTTCCCTCTTTGTACCGGGTAGTCTATTAGAGTTTTGTTAGGTTTGTTAGCGGTCTTTGTTGTATCCATATTGGTGTTTTGCATAGTTTTGTTTTATTGTCCTTTCACTTATTTGTTGTGGTTATTTTCTTTCTGGTATCTTTTGTTGTTACATGTCTTTTCTCTTATTTCTTTTATGATATTATTGTCTTTCCTGTTGAGCCGAGAGTTTCCTGGAAACAGCTTCTCTGCTCTTTTTGGGGCAGGGGTAAGGTCTGCGTACACTCTACTCTCCCCAGACCCCACTAGTGGGATTTTACTGGGTATGTTGTTGTTATTGTTATTGAGAGTGTTTGAGAGCAGAGAAGATTTTAGGGCGGAGGGTGTATAGAAATGATTTAGGGTTAGGGGTTGTTAGGAATAAAAAGGAAGGTTTTAATGGGGGTCGTTGATCTTTTAGATCAACAGCCATGATCTGATGGGGTTTTGGGTCGGGTAGGTGTTCCTAAATTGGGCTGGGTAATTTTGGGGTTCGGTTTGGGCTGAATTGGGATTGGGGAGTGGTTGGAATTGGGCTGAAATTGAAATGCAATTAGGCTAGATTTAAATAGCCATTTTCTTTACTATATACTTTATAAAAAATATAAAATAATTTCCAAAAAATATTTCGTGTACTAAAATGATTTAAAATAGTTGTTTAACATTTTAAAAAAATATAAATGACCCTTTTATGCATTAATAACGTAATTATGCATTAATAATATATGTACATTGACTTTAAAAATGTAAATGCAATTATAAAAAATGCACTAAAAATATTTAAGCAATATTTTGGCATAAATATAGAATTTAGATGACTAAATCACCACGAAAAAACATTTGAAGGATAATTATTGGAAATTTTATGAGTAAAAAGGGGAGAAATAAATATATTTGAAGCCTTTAAAAATTATAAAAAATTACAAAAATGCTTATGCATGCTTATATATGCATATATGCTATTTTGAAAGTATTAAAAATATATAGGGAAAAATTGGGTATCAGGAGACATTAATCTAAAGCAAGCCTTTATCTCTTCCCTTCCAAAGTTGTTGGCAAGCCGAACCATGACCATCATTCAAGAAAAGTTTCAGTCCATAACAATCCCAAAGTTGGCTACATAAGGCAAGCTTCGTTGCAATGGATGACATTTTTACTAAGCGCTCTGCCCTAAAACAAATTATCCAACACAATCTAGCGCTTGACAAAGCATGTCGCAAATCTGATATGATCACCGGATCAGGATGTTCCCGCCACATATCTAGGCGATGGAGAGGATTCAGGAGGTTCAGATAACCGCGAATTCCAGATGGGAAATCAATGTCTAGGAGGTGCACTAAATATTTCCGACGAAGGAGACCAGGAAATTTTCACAAAAATGACATATGCTTTATTTGCTACAAGATTGGACATTTCGCAAGAAATTGTCCCCAATCGAGAAAATCTGTCAAACTCTTGCAAGAAATTGAAGATTACACTTGCATGCATATCAGAAAAGAAGAAGACCTCGAGTCCATATTCTCTCTGGACGATGAACCCACTGAAGAAACTCTATTCTCTCTTGAGATATACGAAGATCATGGTGATGACCACTATCAAATTTCCGAACCAGCCGCTAAAGCCCAGAAGAGATCAATGTTATCACAGTCATCCCTCAAGTGGAACTCAAGGTTTATTCATCCAAATTGGATAAACCAACTCGAGTCATTGCTTTCATTGACACTGGAGTTGCTTGTTCACTCTTGAATCCTGCTGTTCTCACAGAAGATCAATAGGTTCCCCACTTTAAGGATTTCAACACTGCATCAAATGGAATCTCGACTACTACTGTCATCACAAAGCACCCAATCACAATTGAGTTCTTTCCAGGATTGAAGTACAGAACCAATCTGATAGGGTCAGATGTATCAGGTAAAGATCTTATTGTTGGATTCGACATTTTCAGACAACAAAAAGATCAACTCCAAATCAGGGCTAATGGTACCTTCAAGAAGCAGTTCAAACCTTATTCTGAAATTCCAAGGCTATTCCAAATCACCAACGACGAACAAATCAAGGTATTGAACAAAATCTCATTAAGCATTCGTGTGTTGAATCCCACAAGGATTTTATGAAGAAAGGAAAAAGCCCCTTATGGAAGAACAAAGAGTGTTTAATCAAGATCCCTTTCAAGAAGAATGAAAACATCAATCCAAAAAAAGCCAGTCATTCAAGCATGGATTCGGATCATCTTCAACTTGCAAAGAAAGAATGTGAAGAACTTTTGGAATTTGATCTAATAGAGCCACTAAATTCAAAATGTGCAGGCGAAGCATTTTACGTCAACAAAAGAGCTTAGCAGACAAGAGGAAAACTCAGGTCAGTCATTAACTACCAGCCACTTAACCATTTCCTCTAAGATGATAAATTCCCTTTCCCAAATAAACTCACTCTTTTCTCCCACTCAGCCAAGGCCAAATATTTTCCAGGTTTGACAATTTTGTCAATTGGGAATCCACCTTGAAGAAAGAGCCAAAACGGAATTTTGCATCCCCGACCATCACTTCCAATGGAAAGTCATGCCCTTCGGATTAAAACTGCACCCTCCTTGTTCTGAAAAGCCATGATAAAAATATTCCAGCCCATCCTCCATACCTCTTTACCTTACATTGACGACATCCTATTATTTAGTGATACATTGGAGGAATATGTCAACTTGCTTCAGCAATTTGAAACATTGGTAACACAGTACAGAATCATGCTTTCAGTAAAAAAGATGGTTCTTGCTTAAAAAGAGATTGATTTTCTCGGAATGCATTTTGTCCAAGGTGCATACAGTCTAGGACCCCATATATGTCAAGAACTACTCAAATTTCGAGATACCAGCCTCACAACAAAGCAAATCCATCAATTCTTGGGTGTAGTAAATTATGTAAGAGATTTCATCCCAAATATCTCTACATACATTTCTCCGCTCACGGAGATGCTCAAGAAAAATTCTCCATCATGGGGAAAGAAACAAGAAGAAGCAGTTAGGGAAATAAAGGAGATATCTAAATATGTCAAGTCCCTCTACATCCCTTCAGAAGGCAAGAAGATACTACAAACTGATGCCAGCAATGAATATTGGAGTGTCGTTCTATTTGAAGAAAAAGATGGACAGAGGAAAATATGCGGATATGCCAGCGGAAAGTTCAAAGATGCCGAGCAACATTATCACTCCACTTTCAAGGAAATTCTTGCAGTAAAGAGTGGAATTAAGAAATTCAATTTTTTTCTGATTCATACAGAATTTCTGATAGACATGGATATGCAGGCCNTCCCAAAGATTATCCAGATAAATGCAAAAATTATTTTGATTCCTCAGATTCTCAGATGGGCTCAATGGTTCTCTCCATACAAGTTTCAAGTCAAACACCTGAAAGGAAAGGATAATATTCTCGAAGATTTTCTATCTCGACTGGAAGAATTCTCAAAGAGATTTTCCCCAGCAAAGATGATGTCAAAGAAAAAGTGGATGAGCCACATGTTCATGTTTTCGAATGTACTAGGAACAAGTTCATTAAAACCAACGGATCATCCACCAGAGTTGTTCAACCTCATGGATCCCTTTGATCCATCAATTTTAATGGAAAGACGAACTTATTATGAGCTCCAAGTTTTCTGACAACATGAAGGATCCATCCTTAAGCCTTGTGGAGTCAATCCAAAATATCCATTCTGCCATATATTCATAGCACAAGCCAAGGATTTTCCACAAGAAATATTATTGTTTTTATGGTACATAAGACATCAATATTATATTTTTACGGAATTCAAATGCAAAATCTTCAAGGATTTTGATAACACTGAACCAGCTCTTAAAGTATTTTTACTATGGTTCAAGCCTAGAAGATATTGGATAAAATATTTCAACAGTTCCTTCATAGCAAAGGTATTCATGTTACCTAGGCTAGTGAATATTATTAATGGAAAAGTCCATGCGCAAGCAGAGGCATCGTTCTGGTGAAAATTTCCCGCATCCATTTTATCCATGGAAGAAGAATATAGTGAGGCACAATGAATTATCTTCCAGCAAAATAGGTGCATCCCGAGAGAGATATGGATAAAAGATTAGGCGAGCTGGAATTATTACAACACTCATCCTCACTAGGAAAGAGTCCGGGAAGCAGCAAAGGAATATCAAACCCCATACAAATTCATCCGAGAAAAGATCACTCACGACATCTCCAGATTAAGGTTGCGGATTACATCTATCAATCCAAGAGGCAGCTACAACCGGAATGCAGGCACATCTTCAAATCTAGCTCCCATCGAACACAAAAACCTTAGCAGCCAACATCTGCATGAAATGTGTAAAATTATAGTATCAGTACAACCGACCCCATGTACTAGTAAGTAACAAACCTAACCTTAGATTGAAAGTAGTGACAAGCTGGAACATAGGTCGGGCCCAACACCAGTAGCCAACAACAGTTCATAATAATGTAAAGCAATTAAATAAAGAAATAGCTTTAGAGATAAAATGCTCCGCCTTTTCATAATTTTCCGAAAATAGCTCCGTTTTTCAAGTACATCAGTGAAAACACAAATCCTTTACCGAAATCGTCAAAAATTTGGGTAAGTTTGAAAACTGAAATTTTACCTAGAAACCTTTCATCAGGTAAATATTTCATTTTCAAATAGCATAAGGACAGTATATCTCAATGCCTACATGTCAAGATACATGTAAAATCATGAATGTCATCAAAACCAGGCAGCAAAAGAAAATACATCTCTATACATGTATCTCAAGTACTCATGTCGAATGCAATGCCTCTCAGTGATGAACTCATGTACTCACTCTCTCAGAGTACTCAACCTCACTGTCTGGCATTATCTTTTACCGTTCTCAATACTCAGCACACTCAATCACTCAGCACTGTACAATACTCATTGCGGCTTGCAATCCGATCCATATATATATATATATATATATATATATATATATATATATAGTCGACTGCGCTCACTAAGGGGTGTGTAGACTCCGGAGGGGCTCCTTCAGCCCAAGCGCTAAATCGAATATAACATGCTGCGGCGTGCAACCCAATCCCATAAGTGTCACTCATAATCAGGCTCTCAGCCTCACTCAGTCCTCAATCTCTCTAGTCTCACTCATAGGCTCACAATGTCATGAAACTAGCCCGACAACAATTATATGATGTATCAATAAATAACAACTGAGATTGAGATATGATATGAATGCACGAATATGACTAAGTACGAACATATCAGTAAAATCAGTGAGATGATAGCAATAAAGCCTAACATGATACTAGCATGATTGATAGCTCAATTACTTTATCACATGGTGAAAACACAAATAACAACAAGATAGGGCCACTATGCAGTGCCCTGAAAACAATAGTCACAATTCACAGGGTGAACTCCCACACGCCTGTCACCTAGCATGTGAATCACCTCAATACAAATAATAAAATACATTTTTTGGAGTTTCATACCCTCAGCACTAAGTTTAGAAGAGTTACTTACCTCGAACAAGACAATTCCAATACTGAGCTAGCCAAGTGATGCTCCAAAAATACCATCTCACACGTCCCAACCTCAAACAGCTCGAAACCCCATGAAAGACGAGAAGAATGCCGCAAAAATCACCTCAATCGGAGCTCTGAAACTCATGATATGCTCTAAATACCAAAAGAACGCAGTATGATTTTTTTACACACGGATTTTCGCTTTTGCGATAAGAACGCCACACCTGCGCATTTCCAGCTGTCATTTCCACTTTTGAGGACCATGTTTCGCACTCGTGGGGCCGCAGATGCTGACCCAACTTTGCATCTGCGAAAACACCAGCACCAGCTCTCTTTTCCGACATTAAAATGAGCATAACTCCCTCATACGATGTCCAAATTTGACGATTCTTTTTGCTATGGCTCCATAATTATGATACGGATCTTATTAATGCTTGAAGAAACGACGTCGAAACATAAAAACAAGCGCAACACAACCCAAACCTATCCGAAACTCACCCGAGCCCCTCAGGACCCCATTCAAACATACCAACAAGTCCCATATCATAATATGGACCTACTCAAGACCTCAAAACACACATAACAACATCGAAACAACGAATCACACCTCAATTCGAAATCAATTAACTTGAAACTTCAAACTTCCACAACCGATGCCAAAACCTATCAAATCACGCCCGACTGACCTCAAATTTTGCTCACAAGTCACATTTGACGCTACAGCCCTGCTCCAACTTCCGGAATCAGAATCCGACCCCAATTAAAAAGTCTACTCCTGGTCTTACTTCCTAAAATTTCAACTTTTGCCATTTCAAGCCAAATTCTACTACGAACCTACAAATCATAATCCAGACACACTCTTAAGTCCAAAATCACCCAACGGAGATAACGAAACCATCAGAAATCCAATCCGAGGTCAAAAACTAGAAAGTCAAACTTGGTCAAACCTTTTTAATTTAAAGCTTCTAGCTGAGAATCATTCTTCCAAATCAATTCTGAATAACCTGAAAACCAACACCGACGATTCACATATGTCATAATAAATCATTCAGAGCTACTCAAGCCCAAAAACTACCAAGAAAAGTGCAATTACTCAGAACGACTGGTCGGTTCGTTACAGGTAGTGGATCGGGGAACAATAACTTGAATGATCCTTTCAAAACTGAGCTCATGAAATTCATGGGAGAGATGAATTAATGAACGGATCAAAATGTGAAGGAGTTTCATGCTCGGGTGAATTAGATTCTTGGTGCGCCGCCGGTGTTAAAGGGTCCAGATTCAAAAAAGTACTGGCAATTACCATTTAAACCAAGTACGACACCAAAGTTAATCCCGAAGAGATTCAAGATGCCGAACATCCAAAAGTATGGTGGGACATCAGATACGCAGGAGCACATAACGACCTACACCACGATAGTGAAATAAAAGGACTTGTCTAAACATGAGATCAAATCGGTTATGTTGAAGAAGTTTGGGGAAACCCTCACAAAGGGGGCCCTGACATGGTATTATCTCTTACCCGAACGTTCAATTGATTCTTTTGAAATGCTTGCAGATTCATTCATTAAAGCTCATGACGGAGCAAGAAAGGTACATGCAAGAAAGGTAGATATATTCAGAATTTCCTAAAGCGAATCCGAGCTACTGCGAGGATTCGTGATTCGTTCCAAAAAGGAAGGATGATATTACCAGATGTTTTGGATGAATGGGAAGCAGAGGTATTCACGAAGGGTCTAAATCCAGTGAGTTCTGATGCCTCCCGAAAGCTGAAGGAGAGCTTGCTCGAGTTTCAAGCAACCACATGGGCGGATGTCCATAATCGCTACGAGTCAAAGATAAGGATAGAAGATGATCAACTTGTCTCTTCAGTGTCATCCAAAGGACGGGGTCGCAATAAAAATAAGGATAATTGTAACGGAAAAGGGCCAAAAATGTCCTTGAACTATTTGAAATAGCTCAAAAATTCCCTTCGTCGTCTATGTTTTGGACCACAAATGCCCTATAAACTGTTAGTCTTGCCATTGAAGCTGACACGGCAGTCCAACTGGGTTAGATTTGCTTACATAGACATCCACCTAAGCAATACAGCACGGCAAAAAGTTTATTCTTTGTTCTTGAATCCTAATTACAAAAAAATAAGAAATCAAAAAATTAAAAAAAAATACCAAAATAGTTCTTGATTGGGGTTTATGATTTGATTAAAAAACTCCATTGTTCTCTTTTGTGAATTGATAATTAGTTTGATCTAAATGTTTAGATACTTATCTGTTATAGCTTTACAACATCAACCCAACAATCTCTAGTAAGATTTAGATCAAACCAATCATAAATTTACAAAACGCTTTTCAGATTATCAAGCTATTAAGAACTCTTCCATGAAGGTATTTTTTTGGGTTTTAGCTCAGATGTTCAAACCTAGAAATTAGTTGTTCAAGTTCAATTTTTATCTTCAATCGCAATATCGAAGAAATTTACAGTAACATACAATTCAAACTGTTAAAATTTAACATTAATTATTTTCAATAACCCAACAACAACTATAAAATATTTCACCAAGAAGGTTTCAAATCAGCAGCTATTTTCAAATTTTGACACACAAAGCCACACAAGTTTTCCAACAACAATCAACTATTTGAATTAAGTTTGACGCTCAGACCTGTTGACCCTAAAACCCATTCAATGAGCTCGATCTTTCGACACACATGTACAACTTCAAACAAACTTCAGCACACTTCGAGAACTTTAGCACAATTGAGTTTTTCATCAAATCATAAACCCCAATCAAGAACTATTTTGGTATTTTGTAATTTTTTGATTTCTTTTTTATGATTAGGATTCAAGAACAAAGAATAAACTTTTTGTCATGCTGGATTGCTTAGGTGGATAGCCATGTAAGCAAATCTACCCTACTTGGACTGTCATGTCATCTTCAATGGAAAGACTAACGGTTTAAGGGGCATTTGTGGTCCAAAACATAGACAACAGGGATATTTTTGGTACAAAAAACAAATGGATACGTTCGACATATGATAGGACTGATAGGTGTAGAAGTAAAGGGTTCCAATCATCGGATAGGTTCCCTCCGACAGAAGGACAGATCGTGGCCGGAATGGCAGATCGCCACAAGAGA